GCACTGCTTTTCCTTTTGCCTTTTACAATTTCCAGGCAGACTACAACTTTGGAAAAGAGCTCAAACGGTTTGGAGGAAGGCTGAGAAAATGAGGTTAATCTGTGACTTGACTCCTGAGATTTCCTGAAGGATGCTGATGTGGTGTGTGTGAGGAGGGATGGCAGAGCTGGAGCTGGAGCAGCCCTGGCAGTCAGGGATGCGCTCCGAGCCGGCACCGCTGTGCGGAGCTGTTGGAAGCACGGCTGGCAGAGCCTCTGCCGGGGCTGAAAAAACAGATTAAACCCCTGAGGAAAGGAGAAACAGCCCATCTGCATGTGCCGTGCTTGGGGCTGCAGTGGATGGTCACAGCCACAGCAAGTGCAAACTCTCCATTTGCACTCCTCTGTCCTTTTCTTTTCATATTTGTCCCCAGAATAAAACTCAGGATTTCCAAGGAGAAACCTTGCATGCAGTGTGTGAGCACGACTGTGTTTGTGGTGAGCATTTGTACTGCATACATGAAGATAAAATGCATTTATTGCCACGAGGAATCAGATTTGGACTTGTTGCAGCACCAGCCCCAGGGACTGCAAATCCCTTTATCTCYAAGCTAAAGCAGTTGATATCTCCTGTGTGTGTCCAGTTAAAGTATCAGTTTGAGACAAATATTGCAGGGTCTTTCAGCCAGTACATTCATTACCTTTCGAGGAGTTTTGCCTAAGTAAAGCACAGAATTTTACAGAACACAGCGCTTGTAAAAGCTGCTTGGACACTTCATTTCTCAGTTCCTCCTTCCCAGAGATTGATCCTTCCTCAGGGTGATTCTCTCACCAGAAGCACCACACACATCACAGCGTGTTCAGGGTTTTTGGGCTGCCTTTGTGTTTTTTAAAGCTGCCCAAGAACACACGCTGGGGTGTGTGATCATTGCTGTGCTCTGGGCAGGTCTGTCCTCTCTGCCATCCCACACAGCAGTGTGCTCACACTGTGGAACCTCAGCGGGAGCATCTCCTACGAAAACCAGAGTCAATCAATTCCCTGTGTATCAACTGGGTTGATTTAAAACACTCCTCTGAAATCAGTTCAGCCAAAGGCACTAAATATCGTTCATTGCTCAGCCAAACCAACACTTTATTTTGCGATATGCTGAGTGTAGGAGTGCCTGTAAGCAATGATCCAGTCAATATTGCCACCAACAAAGCTGATCAATGACCCTTTTCCTATCACTCCTTTCTCCTTCACTTCCTTGCCTTTCAGGCGCAGCATGCCTAAAAAAAAATCCCAGGATTTACCTTCCTAACCCATCTTAGACACTCCTKGCTTTTAGGGGAGAGCCTGTCTATAGCAAGCACACTGGGATTGATTTTAAAGGCTTCAATCAGTCCAGCATCCCCTGCCTCATGAACCTGCTCTAACAGGCATCTGGGGCTGGTGCTCGATGGGAAAAGGTTGATGCTGTCTCTTAGCACCAACCTCTGACAGAGATTTCCCTCTGCTGCTTCCCAGAAAAATCCTACCGAATGAAATAAGGCAGGAATAAGACTAACATGAAAAATTCCCAGTGACTGGAATCATCTGCAAAAAGAAAGATAAAAAACACTCGAGTCTACATAAAAGGGAGTGAGGCTTCACCTCTCAGGCACAGTGGGACCCTCRGCTCAAAGTCCAGGCAGTTTAAATAGATGAGGTCTTTGGGTGACATTTTGCTGCAAGATTTTAAGTAAATGCCTTGCTGTAACATTTGAGATCAGGCATCTCCTGGTTTCCATGCTTCYTTTCCTTTTTTAAGCCACAGACACACACACACAAAATATATTAAAACGAGCCCAGATTAGYTAAAAGGTCGGCTGGTTCCGAAACAAACAGTGGGGATTTATGGTGGAGGCTTTGGGGCAGCAGAAGGATGCAGTTCATCCCCGCCTCTGCTTTGGCTGGAAGGGGAATATGGATTAAAACCTCGCTGGGAGCACAAGCAAAGGTGAGAAGAGATGCTTTTGTCATTCCTTCTGTTATCCCACACCTAGAAAAGGAATTCATAAATCCCCCAGGTCATGTGCTGGCAGTGGGGAGAGAAAAGAGGTGCCACAGAGAGAGGCAGGGAAGGGGTGGCTGTGGGATGGGAAAGGAGTGGGTATCTTGGATGTCTTCAGCCTCTGCCTGCTTGGAGTCTGGGGCTGGAGGGGCTCGGGTGTGGAGCAGCTGTAGGGGTCCAGCTCCCTAAAAGTGAGGTGAGAACAGGAAGGACTGGACAAAAACTTTCTGGAAAGGAGGAGAGGTTGATCCCTGCATGAAAATGCAAGGCTGCATCCCAGGAGACAAGCCCTTTGCTCCACACCCTGGCTGTGAGAAACAGAACAGAGCAGAGAACAGAGGGAAAATACTCCATAAGGCAGATTTGCCAAGGTATTATTAGAATTTATTATATTAATCAGCTCATTGAAATGTGCTGCTGAGGCCTTCCCTGATGGCAGCCCTCAGCCCATTTTTGGGGTGGTCCCTACCATCTTTTGGGGTGGTCCCTACCATCTTTTGGGGTAGTACCCTCCCTGTGCACTTCTAGGAAAGGAGAGATTTGGCTGGCACAAACTGCACCAGCCTGATGAAGTGTTGATTGTAGATCAACAGCCACACTATTTCCAGGTACCTGCTATTTCAGTTTGCAATTAGRATTATTTTTAAACCGTGTCTCTCGATGTTTTCTGCCAGTACTTGGCATGGAGGGGAAGGGGAGGAGGCAGCACAGGAGAACAGGAACAGCTGCTGGGGCAGTTCTCTCCTTGTTCTCAGCTGTGCCTGTGTGCAGAAACGTGAGGCAACAGAGCMCAAAGCAGAGCATTTCTGCAGACAGCTATTGATATAAACGTGCACATCCACACTGCAAAATTAGACCAGCAGATGGGTATCTTGTTTGTGGGAATAGCAACTGCTTTTCACAAGGCCAAAATGAAGTTACAGCACCAGAAGGGACAATAACTCTTCGTTACAGATAAAGATCCCAAAGGAACTCACTGCTGCATCTGTGGGAGAGCTGCTTTAGGCCAGAATTGTGGGTTTGGGGTGGAATCATGGGGCTCTGGGTTCCCCCCAGCTTAGGGGTTGAGGGTTAGGGACAATGGGCAGCCAGGAGAAGGTTTGCATCCCACTGCAGCTCTCCTTCAGACATCAGTACAAAAACCAACATATCTCATGTTCCACTTTCCTTGTGTGGAATAAACACGYTTGATCCATCCCAAGAACTTGTCCAAGGGCCAGGAACACTGGGGGAGATCAGCCGGGAACAGAACTCCAACAAGCTCCTCTTGACTAATAGAAATTTCATAACAGAAGAGCTTAAATGGAAGGAACATTGGTGTTAAGAGATTATTAGTCATTCTTTAAACTYGAGTGGGATGAGTGCTGGAAAATATTTCTCTCCAAATTGGTACGAATAATATGATCACATAAATCTGATTTGGGTTAGTCTTCCATGGTGTTCTTATTGGATGGATGCAAGAAGAGCAAAACTGGGGGRAATATTGACTCTTGGTGGATGGCTGGGGAAAGTTTGCTGTTTGTATGCAAGAGGTGATTTGATTGACTGAAGAATTAGACRTCTTTCATCAGCTAGGGAAGCAGTGTGGGTGAACACAGAGCCCACTGGCTGCTGGAAACAGGGAACTCAGCATCTGCTAATGAACAGGGAAAATTATGGCTGTCTTTGGAGAAGCCAGTGACGCCCTGAGTGGGATTTTCCTCCATCTCCTCCTCTATATTTGTAAAGATTTTATCATGAAGACAACTGAGTGGAGAAACAGCTCACCAGAGTTTGACAGGGTGGCTGAAAGGGTAATCCCATCACACACCACTCATCCTTGGGGAACCTTTCCTTGTGGAGGATCCCTTTRTCACCTTCAGCATCACCATGACACTCCCACTGGCCCTACAACAGGAAAGCTCAGGGAGGAACCCACATTCCCAAATATGACAATATGGGATTAAGGGAAAAGTCTCTGATAGGGACCGAAGCAAAGCAGCTGTGCCATGGCATTGAGGGTGCCCCAGGTTAGGGCACAGGCGGGTATTTTTAGGTGCGTTTTCCCCTTCATTTAAATGCATTTCTCCGAGCAGCAGCAGGGGCTGAGTGGATGTTTGGGAATCAGCAATACCTACAGATGTACAAACGTGTCAGATCACCCCCTCTGCCTCTCCTCTCGCTGTGGGGGATGAAGGAGCAGGCTCGGACCCACAACCAGCCCCTACCAGCTCCCATCTTCCAGCCGTGCCTCTGAGCCTGACTTGGGGAGGGACGGAGAAGGTGCGGGGGGAGTCCCAATGGGGAGGGGCTCTGCAGCCCAGCCGGGACCTGCTCCCTCCCTCTCTCTCTCCCTTCTCTGACCGCACTTTGGGGACGGAGCTGGGGCTGCAAAACCCCCATCAGCGGCGGGGCCGGGGGTGGACAGCGGTGACCGGCGGGGCCGGGGGTGGACAGAGGTGACCGGCGGGGCCGGGGGTGGTCAGAGGTGACCGGCGGGGAGGGCGCGGCTGTGCGGGGCGGGCGGGCGTGTGCGTGGTGTGGGTCGGGGTGTGTGTGGTGTGTGTATCGGTGTGAGCGTGGTGTGGGTATCGGTGTGAGCGTGGTGTGTGTGTATCGGTGTGTGCGTGGTGTGGGTATCGGTGTGAGTGTGTGCCGGTGTCTGTGCCGGTGTCTGTGCCGGTGTCTGTGCCGGTGTCTGTGCCGGTACCGGTGTCTGTACCGGTGTCTGTGCCGGTGTCTGTGCCGGTGTCTGTCTGTGCCGGTGTCTGTTCCTGTTCCTGTGCCGGTGCCGGTGCCGATCCCGCCCTGCCGGGGCACATCTGTTGGCGGGGGAGCGGCGGGGAGGAGGCAGCCGGGGCTCGCTCCGAGGCAGCGCCGGGCGGGGGGCGCGTCTCGCCCTCGCACACGCGCGGAGCCCCGGGACCGCCGGCTCCTCCCGCCGCATTAAAACCACACAAGTTCCCCGCCGCGGGCAGCGCCGGCTCCGGGCGGTGCTGCCCGGCCCGGGGATGCACCCGAACGCCACGGCCCCGGCCGTGCCCGCCGGSCCGCTGCCCCCGCACCCCAGCGGCTATGCCAACGCGTCCAACCGCTCCGACCTGCTCCCCAAAGTGCCCGACGAGGAGGACCTGGACGTCAACACCGACATCTACTCCAAAGTGATGGTGACCGTCATCTACTTGGCTCTTTTCTTGGTGGGCACCGTGGGTAACTCCATCACVGCGTACACGCTGGTGCGGAAGAAGTCGCTGCAGAACCTGCAGAGCACCGTGCACTACCACCTGGCCAGCCTCGCCTTCTCCGACCTCCTCATCTTCCTCCTCTGCATGCCCATCGAGCTCTACAACTTCATCTGGGTCCATCACCCCTGGGCTTTCGGGGGCGCCGTCTGCAAGGGCTACTACTTCCTCCGGGACGCCTGCACCTATGCCACGGCGCTCAACATCGCCAGCCTCAGCGTGGAGCGCTACATGGCCATCTGCCACCCCTTCAAAGCCAAGAGCATCATGTCCCGCAGCCGCACCAAGAAGTTCATCAGCTGCATCTGGATCGCCTCCTTCCTRCTCGCCATCCCCATGATCTTCACCATGGGGCAGATCTACGGCAAGGACCAGGATCCCGACTCCCTGATCTGCACSGCCATCGTGGACACCTCCACGCTCAAGACGGTCATCCAGGTGAGTGGCCGGGGTGGCCGGACAGCCGCCCCTCCTCTCCTCCCCCCGCTGGCCAAACTTTGCCGAGTCGGGCGGGGCAGGACGGGGAGGCTGGAGAGGGGGATCGGCTCCGGAATTGGGATGTCCCGGGCAGCTCTGACGGGACGGACYAGCCCAGGGTGCGCTCAGGMGGGATTTGGGGGGGTCTCAGCTCCKCTTCCTGCGCCCCTCTCTCYRCCCCACCACGCTGAGCAGAGAYCYTGCACCRGGGTAAATCCYRCTYTGTGGCTGATYTGGCCCCGGGCCGGTAAAACCCTCCCCAGAGCTCATTCCTGTGCCCGGAGCCCTCCTCGTCCCGGTCCGGAGCTCCTGGGGACAGCCGGCCCCGCTCCGCTGTGTCGCGCCGGGGACTCTSGGGTCCCCTCCAAAGTTGGCAATTCATCGCCACAAAATCCCAGATCTCCACCCTTTCTTTACATTTTCTGCATTTCCTTTCCTTCTGCTGGAAAGCGGCCAGCAAGTTCAGGGGAARTAAAACCATCTCTCCCCCTCTCTCRGTTATTTGTTGATTCAGAGCCCTTCAGTGTGGTGACAGTTCCTAAATTCCGAAAGTTTTGGACACAGGGTGTAGCATCTGAAAAGGAGCTGCACCGTGGAAGGCAGAGGCTGCTGTTTTTTGCCGTTTTGGGGGAGATCCGTAGCTGGTTTAACTGGCAGCCCCTCTTGACTTAAGCACGGCTTTGCCGCTCTTTACACAGCGCTAAATCCAACACGCCCATGCGTGGAACGGATTTCAGCATCAACACTTGCCGTGCTCCAGTGCTCTGGCGGGTTGAGGCATTTGTTTACTGGAGCATTGGGCTTGAAAAATGTAAGAGACACGGAAGGAGGGACAGAAGAGAGCGAGACACCAATCTCCACAGTCCCCTGGCTGCCGGGCTTGCATGTGATAGCTGCTCAATTTTTTATTTGGAACATGAATTTCGGGTGGGGTTAATCAGCGGGCAGTTGGAATTTAAAGCTGCATGTGTACTGAAGTCGTTGGGATGTTCCCACACTTAAAGGTAGGGAATTTAAATGGAAATGGATCAGAACCATTCCATCCCACTAAAAGCAGGTGAAGGTAGGTGCATTTAGATTTAAGACCAGAGCCTGTAAATGTTTAGACATAACTCTCCCAGTTTCCCTCTGTACTGATCCTGTAAACCAAAACCAAGCCCTGATAAAAACCTGGATTCCCTCTGCATTTTGTCATGATCCCTAACTTTCATCTGAGGTTGTGAGGGCTGCATTTCTCCTGTAGATGCTTGGAAGGTTTTCTCAGCAGCAGCCCAGTGTACTTAACCCAAATTCTCCGCTCTCTGAGGAGATGTGAGCCATCTGATTTGAGAACAATGGGACTGAAATGCATTATTTCCACTCATCTTCCTCCTAGGATTAAACTGATGCTCATTGTTACCATGGTAGGGCTAAAACCAGAGGATTATTTCCTATCCATATCTTTGGAGATTACACTTTAAACAATTCTCAGTGTACCTGACAGCCTTGCAATTATCCAGGCTATACCTTATCCCATTTGGCAAGTCAGGAGTGGGCAGACATGAATGCATTACATGTACGTGAAGTTCACCTGTGGGCTTTTCCTCTCACATATATATTTAATTAACCAGCGAATTAATTTAAAAGTCAAAAGCAAGAGGCAGCCGTTGGGGGAAGAAGGAAGAACCAAACCCCAAATGGTGTCATCTGTTCCTTYTTGAGGGATCTGGCTGCAGAAGCAGCTCTGCCAAGGCAGGAAGGTTGTTCAGTGGTTTCACCCCATTCCTCTGAGCATGGGGAAGCATCACTCAACATGAGGCAGGGCCTGGGTCGGGCAGGGCTCTGCAGTGAATAAGCAAAGCAGCTGCGAGGCAGGTTTGAAGTGCGTTAATGGAAACCATGGCACAGCGTGTGAGCCGGWGCTCTCACGTCCCAGGCTGTGCAGAGGTTTAAAAAAAAGACAAATGATGGAAGGTCTGGGAGGGAAAGGGCAGTGCTGATGTGCAGTGTGACGTGCAGAGGTCTTGCTGGGTGGCAATCTGGAGGCCTGCTCTTTGGTGGTGGGTTCAAGCTGCTTCAGAGCATCTCTGCATCTCTTTGCATTCATTTGCTGCCTTTAAATTAAGGAGAGCAGTGATGCACTTGCTCGAGCTGGCAAGTCACTTGTAATAAATCACTCGACATATTTCACTCCTATTCCTGTTTGGCAAACCATYTAAAGCAAACTGGCGGGTTTTTTTTGGAAGCCATTGGTTCTCCAAGTGGTTTTATTTGTTGACTGATTGAAAGCCTGTCCCAGAACAGGGCAGTTGTAACCATTTATATCCTCATRGGCCAGTGTGAGATATGGTTTTGCTGGGATTATTACAGGAGAATGATCCTCTCTGRACTGGAACAAGCTTCCTGGAAAAAGTATTTCACAGAATCACAGAATATTCTGAGTTGTGTATATTTGATTGTAGTAATTTAACATCTCTGATTTTGCAAAAGTTCCTCTGTATTTGCTTTGAATATTTAAGTTTTAATGGGCATTCCTGAGTGAAATTAGATTGAATGTTAACAACCAGATTTCCTTGTAATAATAATAATAAAGAAGGTAATTATTCAAACAACACTCAGGATATTCTTGCACATATTAACTTTCACCACTTAAGCTCCACAACAACTGTGAGAGGTAATTACTGATATTCTTCTAGCAATCACAAATTGTTCAGGGCAGCAGATAATCAGGARGAGCAGCAAGGGAGGTGTTCTGCAGGGTGACACTGTGTGTCCTCACGATCTATACACGGGGCACATCTCATCTCTTGCCATCCAGGCCTCCAGCATGGAATTCTTAGAACTATTTCCCAGCTTCACTCATCACTGCAGCTGCTTAAATCTGCCTGTGGATCTGGTTTATTGTATATTCTCCACTGCCAAGTTTTCATGTTGCTTCTGTCGGTCAGGGATGTCTGGTTTGGATTTTGGTATCCACGTGGGATTTGGTAACAGGAGTAAGTCCATTATAGACAGATTATTTAGGGCTAGTAAAGTCTTCAGCTGGCAGGTATCATCTTGTAGCCAATTTTAGGTTCTTCTTCCACATGGATTAAACACTTCTTCAAGTGAATACGAGTGAATTCATGTTTTCATGGCACTTCAGCTGGAGGAGGTTCTAAAGATGATAGATAGGAGAATTCTGAGGCAGSATGAGAGGTTTCTCCTGTTCTCACTTGTGGGTCTGTGCCTGTGGGGTTGGCTCTGGGATCAGCTTCCTAAAACAGGATCCCACTGAGAGTCCTGTTCAGCCCTGTGTGCCATTAACATTGCCCTGATTTTCAAAAAGCTCTGAATTTTAATGGTCAGATGCTGCACAAAGTGATTTTCCTCRGCTGCTTCTTGTTTTCTTACCTTCTTTCCTGTTTTCTGGAGAGATTCACAGCAGACCCTGGGGAAAGGGGGGAAGCTGAAATGCCAACAATCCTGGTGCACCATCAGTCCCTACACACAGAGCCAGCAGCTCCTCAACCTAAAATCCCAGGATTTTATCCAAACCTGAACTGGGCACTCGTGCAAGGGGAGCCTGGGTGTGAGCACCTCCTGGCACCCCAAAATTCACAGCGGGGAGAGGAAGATGTTTTCCCACCATCATGGCACAGCCTGCACTTGACTGACTGTGCCTCAAAAATGTCCCCAAAGTTACAGCAAGTGCCTGGGTAGCGTGTCTGACACATGCTAATGTTTTATTTGCACCGACAGCTGGTGTGATCCCGTTTATTAAAACACATGGCAGCAGGCCCTGCTCCTCCATCAACTGCACAGCTCCAGCAGCCCCARGTTGCTCATTTGTTAGGGCAGCATTTGGGGAGCTCCTCTGGAGCTCCTGACCCGTTTGAAGGATCTCAGTTCCACTCTGGATCTGCCTCAGCCCGCCCTGCGTGGCTGCAGCTCACCCATCCCTTCAGAGCCCTCGTTTATAATGTTTTATGAAGCCTGCTCACAGTTTGGATGATTTGTAGAATAAATAACTCCGCACATGAAACAACTGCTTGCCCAAGGGGCTCCTCAGCTTTATTCCTAGCTGCATTTCTTCCTGCAATGCCTTTGAAGGGACCTGTCAAAGAACCTCAGGTGTGAAGAGGACAGAGAGGAAGGACCAGGTGTCTTGACATCCCTTACCATGCTCTTTACACACTCTTCCAAGGTCATCTGTTCAATTCCCATTAGTCTGAGAGGCTCACAGAGTTATTAATTCCACGTACAATGCTGCAAACAGTCCCTTACCCTTTCCTCTGGTGAGGAGCACCTTGGCAGGGTGCTCTTGTACTTTTGTACTTTGAAAGGCAGGGCCCTGCCCACCCTCAGATCTGTGGTGCCAATTAAATAAACACGACAAACATTTCTCCATATTACATGAGAATAGTGAGCCATAAAACCAAGTGGCTGAATTCTCTCCAGGTTTGCTGGCAAATCATCTCCAGGATTAGTCAATGGTTCAGGAATCCTGTGTTTATACTGGTATTGACTAGAGGATTTGAAGCTCATTGCTTTTCCTGAAGTCACAGCCAAATTCCTGCTGTGGATTTTAATAGCAGGGCTGTCCTAAAACACTCACAACACCAGAGAAGTCCTGGGTGYCACTCACCCCTCTGATGGCACCAGAAATGGCATCTTCATGCAGGGCTGTGTCCCACCAGGTCCTGGTGCTGCCACACCCTCAGACAGACAAGAAAAGAAGATTTTGGTGTGTAAATATTTGTGGATCCATCCCCACGAAGACAGAGAGGGACCCCCGCCCCGGCAGCGATGCCCATCTGTTGTGATGGGAGCATCCCTAAAAAGCTGCCTTTTTTCCATGGACTATTCAGGGAAGGCAGGGCTTTAACTCAGCATATGCACGACAGCCCAGCCTGCCTAATCCCAGCCCGTTTACACTCTGCTCTGTCTCGCAGTTAGATCTAATTTAAATAAGCTCTTGTGTTCATTGCTTTACATAACCA